TGCTATGACTGCATGGCTCAAATATTTAGGCGTTATTCAACAGCCATTCCACTGTTTTAATGGATCTAATGCCACCTGGTGGAGATGAGCATCCACTGCAGGGGAACTCTCTCTCAGAGGTCAGAAAGGGTCACTTTGTGAACAATGGCAGTTCTGAACAAAAGAAAAAAGTAGTTCACTGGATTAATGCGCCCCAAATGTCAGTTAAATGCACCATTTGTGGTTTCATATCTCTTTGTCTCATTTCTGCTTCCTTAGGGAGGTTGCCTCCCACAAAGGCCACACACCGACACCTGAACGCGTGTGTGTGCCTTATGTCTAGTACGTGTCTGCATGTGGATGCGCATGCATATCTTAGGAGATCTTTCCTATCTATATTTACAGCTGGGCTGTGCAGCAGAGTGGTTAGGGGGGATGCGCCTCTGGTGTGGAGCGAGCACAGACGAATGACAGTCGATAGGCCAAACTTTCCCTCACGCAGTTTAACTGTTTGGCCAAACCCCACAACCAAAATACTCCCAGCTACAGGCGGAACTTTGCATTTTAAAACCTCCAAATAAACCCAAATGGTATTTTTTTTATCTAATTCAAAACTAAATTGTGATTCATCTTTACGTTCTGAAGAGAAAGAGGCCAGCTTACACCTCCATGTTTCAGTGTGCCCCAGGGCAGCTGTGGCTATAGCTTACTGCCATCAGTGTGTGAATGTGTGTGTGCATGGGTGAATGTCTGAAGTGCAAAGCGTCTTCGGGTCCATGTGGAATTGATAAGGTGCTATATAAGTTCAAGCCATTTACCATTTTTTTTACTATTTCAATATTGGTGATGGACCAGATAAAAATCAGAATTCAGTCGACCGAGTTCACAAAGCAGAGGCCGAGCTCTGCCAAATTTAAAGCAGCTTCTTATTAATATCAGCACATCACACATTCTTGGAACTGAACGTTTACAGAGGATGTTATTTCACACACACGCATCAGCTCTAGCTAAGATTCACAGTTATGCTGTCACATCAGGATCAAGTGTGAAACACGAGAGGGGGAGATGACAAACATKAACTTCCTCATTCTGATGGAAATAAGCTGCTAAACATGAAGTGGCTTTAAGATTACACGGACACCAGGGTGCTATACTGTATGTCTGGTTAGACCATAACACACAGTTGTTCTATCAAAACAGTCAGAAAGAATTTAGAGTTATTTAAGTCCTCGCTGTGAAGTGAGCGGCTGTTTCTATATAACTGAGAATTACTCAATAGTGTGAAGTGGAAAATTTCAGACTAAGCCACATTTATTTTTAAATAACAAACTAAGTTTTCTTTAGTTGTACTGTCACAAAAAAAAACTGTTTTAATTTGTCTCCAAGTTACATATGTCATCCACACTTATATGTAGCACCTATCAAATCTGATTAGCTTCTACGAAGTTTTATATTTAACAAACTGTTTATGACACTCACTCATGCAGAAAAGCCACACACGCCACGAGCAGAAAAGGAGTATGGTGTCCAAACACTTAAAGTCCACTGCCAGCACACAATAAAACTAAACCCCAATTTTTCTACTCTGCTGAAAAAAAAAACAAGTGGCTGTCCAGACTCCGATCAATTAAAACAAACAAGATCATTTGAAAAGTAAATGAACTAAAATGTATCCAAACCATGAGTGAAGATTCTGTCAAGACATCTCGAAAGGCAGCTGACTTTTTTTTTTCCTGTTGGAGATGTTTCACCGCTCAGCTGAAAAGGCTTCTGTAGCTCTTATCATGATTCAGGAGTTGTAGTATTATAAGTCATTGCTGAGACAAATGAATCACTGACCCACCCATCAATTCTGTGAATTGTTTGTTGTTGCAGTCACACGTGTCAAAGTTAGAAGAATATTTCCTGGGAAGAGAAACCAAACCAAAACTTATTCTTCTTTGTAGTTTTCCCCACATTTAACATACAACTTAATACTTATTTCCTACTTTTCTGAAATGTATATTTAAAAAAGATTTTTATGTTTAAGATGTAGGTGGACAGYCGAGTCTTGAACTAAGAGCTCACTGACTAGCGTCTTGTAAAGGTCTAAAAAATCTTTGCTCCACAGAACTTTGTTTGAGTCTTTTATCCTTGGGTTGAATCAATCCAAGGATAAAACACTCTTGTTTAGTTTTAAAAGCACCAGGATTTTGTGTTTGGAGATAATTCTCAGTTACTCCTGAAACATATGGGAGGACAGTAAGTATCTGTTTTTGTCCTCTTGGTTTAGTGCTGCAGCTGTACCTCAGGTTTCCTGGTTAATTTAAAGGGACATGTCCTGCAAAATCCACTTTTTTAGCCATTAAATGCATTTTGTTGTACTTGGAGTCTCTAGGAGTGCAGAAAAGTTGAACTCAGTATTTCCCGGTGCTGCGTAGATATCAGTTTTTTTGTTTGGTTTTTTTTTTTTTTTTTGCTTTTGGTGTTATATATTTCAACCTGTTTTTCTTTATGTTTGATGACTTTTTTTAACTACTACTTCACAGAATTTGTAATTGAATTTCTAAATAAGGTTTAGACCAACTACAATTTAGTGGTCTTCATTCTCCTCCGGTTCTGGGTCAGAGAGGCGGGGTGTGAAGCACCACTTTTGGATTTAAAGAGACCGACTCAAAATTAATTGATCTGAGACACTTCAGAAAAGGTGGAAAAGAGGGGTTTGTGGAGTTACAATAAAGAGGAACTCAAACCATACCATTGAAATTTCACTTTTTATAGACCCCAAATGAATGATTTAAACATGACAAAGTAAGATTTAAAAGCATGATATGTCTTCTTTAACAAATGTGCAGTTAGGATATCAACAGGTTTGAAGAGCTTTCTTGAAGTGTTTGTTTTCCTTAACTCTTTCATCTGTCTTAGTGAAGACATCCATCCATCCATCCATCCATCCATCCATCCATCCATCCATCCATCCATCCATCCATC